GTTTTGGAGCGCCCGTGGAGTACCGGAGGTTCTGTGGGGTTGGGAGCGGGGTCTGGAGTTCCTGGTGGGGACGGGGGCGGGATTCCTGCGGGATTCCCGCGGATTCCTGAGGGTTTCCCGTGGATTGCCAGGATTTTCTGGGGGTTCCCATGGATTTCCGTGGATTCCCATGGGTTTCCCAGGATTTCCTGTGGGTTTCCCATGGATTCCTGAGGGTTCCCAGGATTTCCCGTGGGTTTCCCAGGAATTTCCTGCAGGTTTCCCGTGGTTCCCACGGGTTCCCATGGATTCCTGCAGATACCTGTGGATTCCCGGGATTTCCTGTGGGTTTCCCATGGATTCCTGGGATTTCCTGGGGGTCCCCATGGATTTCCTGCAGGTTTCCCATGGATTCCCATGGTTCCCACAGGTTTCCATGGATTCCCATGGATTCCTGGGGGTTTCCCATGAATTCCCATGGATTCGCATGGATTTCCCGTGGATTCCTGTGGGTTTCCCGTGGTTTCCCATGGATTCCTGGGGTTTCCCATGGATTCCCAGGAATTCCCATGGATTCCCTGCAGGTTTCCCGTGGATTCCTTGGGTTTCCCATGGATTCCCATGGATTCCCGCGGGTTTCCCATGGTTTCCCAGGAATTCCTGGGGTTTCCCGTGGATTCCCGTGTTCCCATGGATTCCCATGGATTTCCCATGGATTCCCCGTGGGTTTCCTGGGATTTCCCATGGATTCCTGGGGGTTTCCCAGGATTTCCCGTGGATTCCTGGGATTTCCTGCAGGTTTCCCGTGGTTCCCACAGGTTTCCATGGATTCCCAGGAATTCCCATGGATTCCCGTCATTTCCCATGGAATTCCTGGGATTTCCCATGGATTCCTGGGGTTTCCCATGATTTCCCACGGATTCCCATGGATTTCCCGTGGATTCCTGTGGGTTCCCATGGTTTCCCAGGAATTCCCATGGATTCCCATGGATTCCTGTGGGTTTCCCATGGATTTCTTGGGGTTCCCCATGGATTCCCATGGATTTCCTGGGGTTTCCCATGGATTCCCATGGATTTCCCATGGATTCCCCGTGGGTTTCCTGGGATTTCCCATGGATTCCTGGGGGTTTCCCGGGATTTCCCGTGGATTCCTGGGATTTCCTGCAGGTTTCCCGTGGTTCCCATGGATTCCCATGGATTTCCCATGGATTCCCGCGGGTTTCCCCCAAGGCACTTCACTCGGTGCGGAGGATGATGTGGATCCCGGATTCCGTGAAAACGGGGCCGCTCATCTCCCCGGCCCTCAGCGCGAACGACGCGTCCTCAAAGGGCTTCTGCATCTGCCCTGTGGAGCACAACCCCAAATTCCCGTCAAAATCAAAAAAATTCCCATTAAAATCAAAAAAATTCCCGTCAAAATCAAAAAATTCCCATTAAAATCAAAAAATTCCCATTAAAATCCCAAAAGTTCCCATTAAAATCCCAAAAGTTCCCATAAAAATCCCTAAATTTCCCATTAAAATAAAAAATTCCCATTAAAATCATAAAACTTCCCATTAAAATAAAAAAAAATCCCATTAAAATAAAAAAATTCCCATTAAAATCCCAAAAGCACCTGTCAAAATCAAAAAAATTCCCATTAAAATCCTAAAAGTTCCCATAAAAATCCCAGAAGTTCCCATTAAAATCCCAAAAAATCCCATTAAAATCCCCAAAATTCCCATTAAAATTTAAAAAAATCCCATTAAAATCCCAAAAGTTCCCATAAAAATCAAAAAAATTCCTATAAAAATCCTGGATTTGGGAGATTTTTGGGATAAATCCCCTGGATTTGGGGTCATTTTTGGGATAAACCTCTGGGAATTGGGGCCATTTTTGGGATAAACTCCCTGGAATTGGGGTCATTTTTGGGATAAATTCCCTAAATTTGGGGTCATTTTTGGGATAAATTCCCTGGAATTTGGGTCATTTTTGGGATAAATCCCTGGAATTTGGGTCATTTTTGGGATAAATCCCCTGGAATTTAGGTCATTTTTTTGGGCTGAGTGTTTTTTGGGATAAATCCCTGGATTTGGGGTAATTTTTGGGATAAACTCGCTGGAATTGGGGTCATTTTTGGGATAAATTCCCTGGAATTGGGGTCATTTTTTGGGATAAATCCCCTGGAATTGGGGTGTTTTTTTGGCTAAATCCCTGGATTTGGGGTCATTTTTTTGGCTGGGTGCTTTTTGGGATAAATCCCTGGGATTTGGGGTAATTTTTGGGATAATCCCCTCACCTCTCCCAAAAGCTCCCAGGTCCCCTCCGGCCTTGGCCGAGCTGCAGTCGCTGAACTGGGAAGCCAAAGACTCAAAATCCTCCTCTCCTGATTTGATTTTCTGGATGTAACCTGGAAAAAGAGGGGAAAAAATGAGATTTAGGGAAAAAATCCCAAAATTCCTGAAATTCCTGAATTTCCTGACCGTTGAGGAGCTCTAGAAAACACTCTCATAATATTCTCATACACATAATTAAACACAAATACACCCATATAAAACCCTATAAAACCACCAAACCACAAATCCCACATCCCAAAATCCCCAAAATTCCCAAAATAATTCCCAAAATTCCCGAATTGCTGACCATTGATGAGCTCCAGGGAACACTCACCCAATATACCCATACCCATAATTAAACACAAATACACCCCTAGAAAACCCCACAAACCACAAACCCCACATCCCAATATTCCCAAAATTCCCAAAATAATCTCCAAAATTCCCAAATTTCTGACCGTTGATGAGCTCCAGGGAACACTCACCCAATATACCCATACCCACAATGAAACATAAACATACCCATATAAAACCCTATAAAGCCTTTTAAAACCCCCCAAACCCCAAATCCCACATCCCAAAATTCCCGAAATCCCCAAAATTCCCGAAATTCCCAAAATAATTCCCAAAATTCCTGAATTTCTGACCGTTGATGAGCTCCAGGGAACACTCACCTGATACATTCATAATTAAACATAAATATCCCCACACATAATTAAACACAAATATACCCCTATAAAACCCCCCAAACCCCAAACCACACATCCCAAAATTCCCGAAATTCCCAAAATAATTCCCAAAATTCCCAAATTCCCTGACTGTTGATGAGCTCCAGGGAACAATCATCTAATACATCCATAAACACAAATAAACACAAATATACCCGTATAAAACCCCACAAAAAAAACTATAAAACCCCCCAAACCCCAAACCACACATCCCAAAATTCCCAAAATTCCCAAAATAATCCCCGAAATTCCCGATTTTCCGACCGTTGATGAGCTCGAGCGCCTCCTCCTTGGAGCGGGTGATGCGGTCCTGCCTCCAGCTGGACGGGCGGCGCGATTGGTTGTGTTTGACCAACAGGTGAGAGCAGCGCACGCGGCCCGGCTCCGCCCGCGGCCCCGCCCCGCTCGGCCGCTCCCATTGGCTGGCGTTCGTCAGGTGGTTGAAATAGTACACCCTGCCTGGG